AGATGGATGGAAGAGCCGCATGCGGCTACAGAGCCGCCGACCCCTGTGCTAGCCTACTTTATTGTCCCCAGCAATTTTTAAACCCCACTCAAGTGTATGGTTATTGTCCCCAGCAATTCTGAAAACAAACTGACGCCCTTGGAAATATAACATGTTGGTGGTTCTGGGTTCCGACTATCGGCTTGTGGAGCTCCCGGGAGACCTCCGCAGCTCGGTGCATCTCTGTCTGCTGCGCGGGCTACCGGCTGGTTCTCCCCTCCCCAGCTTGTGAAGCTCTGGATGGAAACCGATGTTTTCCACCCGTTCTCCCCTCCCCGCAGCTCGGCGCATCTTTGTCTGATCGCGGCTTCTGTCTGCTGCGCGGGCTGCCAGCTATGCTGGCTGATTCTCTCCTCCACGCAGCTCGGCGCATCTCTGTCTGATTGCGGCTTCTGTCTGCTGCGCGGGCTGGTGCATGGGCTGCCTCTTGTGGTTCTCCCCTCCCCGCAGCTCGGCGCATCTCTGTCTGATTGCGGCTTCTGTCTGCTGCGCGGGCTGCCGGCCGGCTTGTGGTTCTCCCCTCCCCGCAGCTCGGTACATCTCTGTCTGATCGTGGCTCCTGACTGCTGTGTGGGCTGCCGGCTTGTGGAGCTCTGGGATGGAAACCTTTCCTCCCAGTTCTCCCCAGTGGCAGCTCTGCACATCTCAGATCGCAGCGGCGCTTGTCTGCTGTGCGGCTGCCGGCTTGTGGAGCTCTCGGGAGACCGCTGTGTTCCACCCGGTTTTACCCAGCGGTCAGCCCGGCGTATCTCTGACTCAGAAGCTCTGGTGTTGTGCACAGTTAACTCCGGTTGTATCTAGGTTGCTACCTCCGTTAGCTTAGCTCCCACCTCCACGTTAGCTTTGGATTAGCTTCAGGTTAGCTTGTAGCTAGTTCGACCGGGTGTCGTCAGTTGATCCCAGCCTTACAGCCCAACCCTCAGCTCTACCTCTCTTCCCTTTTGTGGAATTGTCTGGCTTGACGGAACCTGTGACACGGTCAAAATGGCGCTGGTGGCCACCTCCCATTTTAGCCCAAAAACGTGTTATTGGAGTCTATGGAAACCCATTGTCTATATATGTATGTTGATGGGTGGAACCCTTGCTCCAAGGTCCGCCAGGCAAAGTGCTTGGTAGGTCTGGAGCATGGTGGAAAAGCTGAGGACGCGGGCAGTGGAGGCCTTTTCTGCGGGTGTAGAAGCAGACCCCTGTTCATCATTGACTGCTTATCTTTGTGGAACCCCCCCACCCCCCCACCCCGTCTCTTCCTTTCTCTTTCACCTCTGTCTCCGTGTCTGGTTGGAATAATAAAGCATTCAAAAAACAATAACAATAAAGTTTTAAGTATCAGGCGTGACATTAAAAGCAGAAGCTTTGATACTCCACCTGAGGGTAAATCTGTCAGGCTTGTCACCAGCATTCAGACATTAATTCTGTTAGCTTCACAGCCAAACAGGACACGAAACAAAAAGAAATTATGTAGAATCCGCGTTACATAGTCAACATTAAAACATTGAATCAACATCATTTATACCTAATTTTTATATTGAAACATAATTGACTTATTAACTATAGATGCCTTTACAATTGTACATCAATTAACCTAAATATTAAAACATTGAAATTTAAACAGAACTACAGATCTATGCATTTTCACTTATATTCCAACTGAGAGAAATTTTTACAATATCATGCTTTTCTGTCAGGATTCATCGCTTTTGCAACATTCATTCAACATCTAGTTTGCATAAAGATTTCAATGTCAACCATTCTGATGATTCAGATAGAAAATCAATATTGTTTCAATGTCAGCTTGCTATCTGGGTTGGCAATGAGAAACAACTTGGGTGTTGGATGGCGGATCAAAAGTCGACAGTTACTTCTGGGGCAAATTTCAAGTTTAAATGTAAGTCAACTAATTTAATATGTTTTTTTTAAGATCCAAAGAAGCTATCCATGGCTGGTAGTTGCTTAGTAGTTGCAGCTTCTGTGACTAGCAGGTAGTAACTTGCTTACATATTTCATTTGACAAATATATACACAATTTTAAAAGTGAAAGGCTCAATCTATATTATATTGAAACTTACATGTATAAAATATAATGTTTTCTTCAGTTCTAAACTGTGATTCCATTTGTGTGTATTTCTGTTTTGATTTGTTTTCATATCATGTCCTGATAATTGTAAGGCACAATGAATTGCCTCTGTGTTTGAAATGTGCTCTATAAACAAAGCTGCCTTGCCTTATCTCCCAGTCACGTGATGTTACGTGACTGCCACGGAAGCAGTGGTCACGTGATGCAAGTCTGTTCCATTTAACCATTTTTTTTGACCAAGGAAGGACAGTGTCCTTGTAAGCAAGGCGTCTGGCCTCACAAGACATCGCCTCGCAAGGCCAAGTACCTTGACATTGAGAAACACCCATAAGTCTCTGGCCAATGCCATTAGATGCCATGTTTCCTTCTACGGGAGCCCTTGAGGGCAAAACACTTTTACAGATTTGTAACAAATGGTTACAAAACTTTCACCATTAATACACTTCTTGTTTTAAACATTTACCTCTTCACTCATTGCCAGTGATGAAAAGGAGTGTGAAGTGCTTGTTATTTTGCTGAAGTTTTCACTCCCCGGGCCTTTTTGACCCAGCATCCATTGGTAACATCTTACTCCAACACAAAAATACAGCTTACTTGTAATGATTTTGGTATCTACTGCTCCCTAAGGCCAGGAAAAAACACACTGTCACTTTAATTTTTTACCACAATATAGGTATAGCTCTGAAAAGGATGAAAAATGCTTTAAGCTACCTTGTTTTGCAGATTTAGTATTGTAGCAACATGTGTACCCAGTGAAGTTGCTTGTGGATGTTTTTATATTCAGTGAGCTATTTATTCTACTCAGTCCCAAATAGCAAATTCTTTTTGGCCCTAGTTTGGCAAGCCAGTCTTGGTACTCTTTTGGATGGAATAATGGGTCAAATATGGCCCAAATTAGGCACACCAAAATAGAATTATGGATTGTCAAAAGGTTGTCAGAATCATTTTTGGCACTAGTTTGGCATGCCAGTTTAGTACTCTTTTGGATGGAATGATGGACCAAATATGGCCCAAATAAGGCACGCCAAAATAGAATTATGGATTGTCAAAAGGTTGCCAGAATTCTTCCAAAATAAATTGTGGAATTCTAAAGCACATCATAACTATACCAAAAGAACCCCAAAACACCACAAAATGGCAAAAGGATATCAAAGTTTAACCATAAGTTTGCCAAAAGATCACCCAAAATAAAATGTGGCTTTCCAAAGCATAGCCATAACCATCCCAAAATCCCATAATAAAGCAAATATGAACCATAACTTATCCATAATTAGCCATACATTTACCAAAAGATTGTATTTTAGTCTGAACCTCATGCTAAATTGAATTTAACATTTTGATAGACTATAAAATGTCCTTGTACAGAAGATTCAGATTTTGTGCCTCAGTTAAATAACCTTGTGAAATAGCCTAGGTTACTGTGTGTACGTGACACATAAACATAAAACCAAACAAGAGTAAAATTTGAATATTTTATTTATTTATTTATTTATTTTAAAAGTCGGTCCTGGACTGAGTCCTGGGCTGGTTGAGGGGTTGGTTGGGCGGGCATTCTCCTTTTGCGCCCTCCGTCCCTATCCCCAGCCCAGTAGAACCATTTTTTAACTGTATTTATAATTTCTCCCTCCGTAGATGCCACACAGACTGGATGGATTCCTTCTCACTGCAGCTGAAAATAAAGGCAGACACATGGAGAAAGACTTAAAAAAGGACAACGCAACAGTCCATGCAAAAGAGACCTGTGGTGGGCTAAGTAACTGGCTAGTTAAAAAGTCAGTTTTGCATTAGTTAATGGATGCATCTCGTCATCTGGGGTTGAAAGTGACAGCCAAAGTTACAACATCAAATCATCATAGTCACTTAGTACTTACACTGCCACAGTTTACTTTACCAAACACAAATCAGCGGTTCTTTCCTGACACTAAAACCAAACAAGAATTTCACGAGCGAGAGTTGACCCTGAAGAACGTGGCACATTGCGGGCAAAGTGGCAATAGCTGTCTTGAAGCCAGCGATAGCGTGGTGTTATAATTTCGAAGCTTGTGACATTCACAGGCGCACTGTGTGCCATTTCGCAAACAAGTTGTTAAGACTATAAGTATTTTGACTTTGAAAAGAAATGTGATTGTCATGGGTGGCTAATAATTTTATCCTAAACCTTCTTTAATTTTATCCTAAACTATTATTTTATCAGGTGTGTGATGGAACAGTCGTGTTACTGTTGTGATTAAACTTACCAATTACAATGCCTTTTAGGTGGAGCCTCTCAAAGGCCACCTTCCCATTTTGCCCTCGCCAAGTAAATTCCCCTGGTGAGGGCATTAGTCATGGCTCCTTTGAGGACCACGTGTTACACATCAGGTTATAACTGAAACAAATGTTTAAACTCACTTGTAATTACTTTCACAAAACAAGTTTTTCTTCTTTAAATTTATAGTCTACTAACAAAGCTTTCATTTTAAAGGAAGAAAGAAATAAAAATAAATTTTACATTGCACCTCACAAGATGAACATTTAAGTGAATGAAAATCAATTTAAATAACTATGTTTTCACTTTCAACTGAAACCTAAACCCACTCTCAATAGTGAATTAGCTTTCCCATCTACATAACAACATCTCGGCAAGCTAACTGTAGTTACCAGAAACTGTGACTTTTATTTTGATATTACAACAGGTTACACGGCGTCAATAATTTGTGATTACGAAACTACACTTTTTGAAATGCTCATTTTATTAAGTTATAATTTAAATTTAACGATGACAAATATTTGATAATACAGTAGGTAACAAACAAATGGGTGTACATTTTATTTATTATTGAAGATCCGGTGGCACGTGCTCACCGGAAGTGCCTTTATTTTGAACCAGCCTGGTGCGCAGCCTTATTATGTCGTACTTGATTTTGTCAACTGCAACTGGGGGGAGGAAGTCCCTCCGTCGAGCCTACTATATGTTCTGACCTGTTGATGAACGGCTGTTAAATACTCAGACGGGATGTGAAGGAGAACCTGTGCTCGGAGGTTCCACGTAACCCAAAAGGTAAATGTTATTAATTAATTAGGCGATAAGTAGAAAGTTAGCTGTGTGGGGGTCTTTGTGAGGTGGGGCTAGCCAGGTGAACGTCACGTTTCTGTTCAGCTTCACCTGGCGGACCGTGGTCCTGTAGGTACCTGCAGGTAGCCTGGATAAAAAAATGTTTTATTCTATTAGTCAAGAGTCTTACATTAACACGATTTAAATTATACGTAATGATTGTGTACAACACTTATTATGAAACGGGCTGTGTGTTGTTGGGCAGTTGAAAACTGATGCCAGTGCTGTTTTTTGGGAGAGTCTTTTAATAAACTGAATAAAGACTGAAAGTGTAAAGCTGTTACAGCTCAAAAGCTACAGATGGATGTTTTAGAGAAATTTGCACCTAGCTGGACTAGATTTTAAGATTTTTAAAAGTCATACTTTCAATTTATAACGAGGTTTTTCAAACACACAAAACAGTCAGGCTCATGTCTGTGTTAAAGTTAACAAATATTCTGGATCTTCAGTTCACTGATGCAGTTTCTGCACAGAACTTTTCAAGGAACCACACACTTTGTAACAGATCCAGGAAATAGCATACCATGTCCTGACATGACTGCTGTTGTTTCTCAACACAAACGTGCAGCTTAGATGTTCTAGACATCCTGCTTCTTCTACCGTCTGCTGCGTTTTGGGCTGATTTCTTATGTTGTCAGGAATCAGAAACTTTTGTGATGCAGATATTGAAAACACAGATAGAGATTCACTACTTCCTTGTCATTTTGGCATCTAAAATTCAAAGGATGTATTCAGCAGAAATACTTTGATGCTTAGCTTAACTGACCACTTCTGTTTCTGGTATATGATTTTTAAATGTGTATAGATCATCGGGTATAGATGTGTAATTTGGGCAGCATGTGTCTACCTGCTCCAGCACCTGTTTCACTTGTGACAAAGCCAGACATGGTATTTCTGAAGTCTGAATGCATTGCTGCAGTTTACTAGTTGGACAACATGACTAACAAATGACTTCCCTGTAAATCCCAACTAAAATTGTTATTCATTAATAGGTCTGACAGTGTTTGTCCTGAGGACGTTTATACTTCAGATCACCATAGCATTTTCTTTAACTTGTCAGTTTCTGCGTCCCCACCTCCTGCTCGCCGTATGGTTAGTTCTCGTTTTCTTAATGAGAGCACAGCTAGCAATTTTTCCGCTGCTTTTGATCCACCCTGTTCTTCTGATAACAACCCAGATTTCTTAACTTCTCAGTTTAACGAGCACTGCCTCTCCATTCTGGACAACATCTGTCCTGTCAGAACCAGATCAGTTCCTGCCGTGAACCCTACTCCCTGGTTTAATGACAGTCTTCGCAGCCTGAAGCGCCAATGCAGAAAAATTGAACGTTTGTGGAAGAAAACCCATCTCCACGTCCATCTGCTGCACCTAAAGGATCTTCTGACATCCTTTAACTCTGCAGTCAGAGACGCGAGGGTTTTCTATTTCTCCAACCTGGTGTCCCAGAGCAAAGGGAACCCCAAGGTGCTGTTTAACACCATCAGCAGCATTGTCTCTCCTGCCTCTCCTACAGCCTCCATCCACTCTGTTGCAGACTGTGAGAACTTTCTGTCTTTCTTTGTGGACAAAGTCAATAAGGTTAGATCTAGCATCTCTCCTTCAGTCTTATCGCTGCCTCTCCCGACTCCAACCAGGCCCATCATCCTAGATAGCTTTGCTCCTGTTTCTTTGCCTGAGTTAACCAAACTAGTTAACTCTATGAAGACCTCTGCATGCCCCCTCGACATCTTACCCTCATCTTTGTTTAAAAGTGCTTTTCAGTCTATCGGTCCCAGCGTGCTCTCTATAATTAATGCTTCTCTGGTTTCTGGTCAGGTCCCTGCTTACTTTAAAAACGCTGTAATCCACCCGCTTCTTATAAAACCGAGTCTCGACCCCTCTCTCCATAGCAGCTTCAGACCCATCTCTAAACTTCCGTTCATCTCCAAGATCTTGGAAAAGGTTGTGGCTAAACAACTCACAGCTGCTCTTGATGAACATAGCATCTATGATAGCTTCCAGTCAGGTTTTCATAGAGCTCATTCTACTGAAACAGCTCTTCTTAGGGTCTCTAGTGACCTTCTGACTCAGTGATGCAGGGGACTGTTCTGTTCTGGTCCTGCTGGACCTGACTGCAGCCTTTGACACTGTTGACCATCGCCTGCTACTGGAGAGGCTAAGAGACTGGGTAGGCCTATCAGGATCTGCTCCGGAGAGTAGGGTTGTCACGATACTAAAATTTCAAACTCGATTCGATACTTGAAAAAAACTCGATACTCGATTTCGATACTATTTAAAAACACCCATTTATCGAACAAGTTTATTCAAAAAATAACATTCCTCAATTTATATTGCTAAAATTAAATTTTAAGAATTAAGTGTATTAAGTGCTTAAACCTTTCAAGTATCAGCATTTTTTAAAACGTGCATACAAAAGCTGGCGAAAGTTAACACTTTAAATCATGAATTGTCTCACTATATATACACTATTTGCAGAGTGATGTTTTGCTGCTTAAACTCTGTTTAAGGTGCATTTTTGTCATAAGATGTAATGCCATATGTTTTGTTCTGTACTTTTGAACAACTCTGTTGGTCAATAAAGGGAGAAAACGAATTTCTCCACAGTAGGACAAAGGTACATCTACCGGTAGTCTTAATAAAAAACAGACTGGCGCACGGCAGTGACGTCATTAAACGCGCCGGTTAGATTAGCCGCGGCTAGTCTGTTCACGCCTAGAAATCCCAGACCCGCTCCAAACGAACAGGGGAATCATGTTAATGATTCCTAACAAAACCTTTCGACATGAAGATGTTTTGGTGCAGATAATGTCTTATTTCGAGGCTGCACCATGGGTGCCCGTCCGCACCCGTTATATGGATATACACTGACGGCGGTTCGCCGATGGATCTAAATACCCCGGGGAATCCAAGTAGCACCAAAGTTGTCAGCGTGAGTAAACAAACGTACTGCATGCTAGAAATTAAGTCCGGGTTGCAATAAACGGGAGTTTTCCTTTAAGCACATAAGCGTGAATATACAACTACGTGTCGGACTTGGTATGCTAATTAAGTTGGGCTGTGAAGCGCCTCCCAAATTCGCTGTTTATGTTTTTGTTTATTTATTTGGCAGACAAAACTTGGATTGGAGACAACTCGCATGGGAAATTGCAATGTAGCCATGCGGCGTCTTCTTCTGTTTGTCTGGGAGGCGGAGGCTGCTTTACGGCATCTGGCTGTCGTGTGTGTCGGTGTACTTGAAGAAGGCTGTGTATAATAGTCCATAATATCGATACCACAGGGATGGAATATCTAATTTAGATACCACTTTTAGTATCGATTTATATCTGGGTATCGATTTTTTTGACAACACTACTGGAGAGGTTCTCCTCTTATCTCTCTGAGCGCTCCTTTTCTGTGGCCGTCTCCAAGTTTAGGTCCTCCACCACCTCTCTTACCCATGGTGTCCCACAAGGTTCTGTGCTGGGGCCTCTGCTCTTCCTCCTCTATCTGCTTCCTCTTCAGCACATCCTGAGCTCCTTCAAAGGAATCTCCTACCATCTTTACGCAGATGACATCCAACTGTACATCTCCTTTAAGCCCCATGAGATGTCTAAGCTGCAGCTGTTACACACCTGCTTAGACTCTTATCAAAACCTGGATGGCTGGGAGCTTTCTACAGCTGAATGAGGGTAAGACTGAGATCCTCATCTGTGCCCCAGACAAGCTGGTTCCCAAAGTCAGAGACTCTCTTGGTCAGCTTGCTTCTCGCACCAAACCTTCCGTCAGTGTGACCTTTGACCCAGATCACACCCTGGATTCTCATGTCAGTTCCCTTGTTCGCTCTTCCTTCTTCCATCTCAGGAACGTTGCTAAGCTGAGTCCCATTCTGTCCTGCTTTGAACTTGAGACAGTTCTCCACACCTTCATCTCCTCACGCTTAGACTACTGTAACTCTCTTTTCACGTGTGTGAGCAGAACCTCCCTGAACCGTCTACAGGTGGTTCAGAATGCCTATGCTCGGCTTCTGACCAAGTCCTCCAAACACACCCAAATCACCCCGCTTCTCCTCCAGCTTCACTGGCTGCCAGTCAACTTCAGGGTTCATTTCAAGATCCTGGTTCTGGTCTATAGGGCCTTACATGGACAAGCACCATCATACATTGGTGATCTTCTTAGTCCCTACACCCCCAGCAGGTCCCTGAGGTCCAGTGACCAAAGCCTACTGGTTGTGCAACGCACCAGGCTAAAGACCAAAGGTGACGGATTATTTGCTGCTGTGGCCCCCAGACTCTGGAACTCTCTCCCCCTGAGCCTGAGATCAGTGGACTCAGTGGTCTCCTTTAAAAAGCAGCTGAAGACTCACTTGTTCAAGCTTGCTTTTGTATGACCTTCTTCACCACTCTCAGAATGAGACACACATGGATGTCGCACGTGTAATTATTGTGTAAAGAAGATGCCTTTAATAGGTGCTGTGGAGGAAAACATAGAAACCAGCAGAGACACAGAGGCAGAAACAGTCCAAAGTTTGGTATCAAGTGTCACTACAAGCAGATTAGCTAATGCTAGCAGGTAGCAGGCTCACGATCAAGTGGGTTCAGAAAAAACACGATGGTTGTGAAACAGAAAATCTAAACTCTACAAGAGGCAGAAAAGTCCCCATCATCATCCTGTTCATTAGCTGTCTGCAGCTCTACGGAGCACAACCGGCACCGCTGCAGTCAGGTTGCTCTGCCCAACACCACTGAAGGAATACGGCAAGCCACTATTTTAACATTTAACAACCCTGTTAACAAACAGAGCACCATCGTGTTCTGTTAAAGAAAAGGAAGGAGAAAAAAAAAGTTTCCCTAGCATTTAAAAAATTTCTCGTTTAATCCAATCAATCGAGTCGAGACCGATGGTCGAGACCCCATGCAATTCATTGATGATCCAAATAATCGTTTGCTGCAGCCCTAGTATGGCATTAG